AGTAAGCCTGCTGCCCACATGTGCACTGGAAAAATATATCTCTGTATAAGAGTCAACTACCATTCTGGTCAGTTTCTGTATGTGGAATATGTGTAGATTCCACCTTGTCTTTTGCCTTAGGGAGCAAACAAACCTTGGGCTGACCTGGCTCTCAAAGTGGTTTCAGAAGGTTGAAACATGGGGTTGGGCATGGCTGCTCACTCAGTGCTCAGCAACTCACGTGGACTGGAGAGATTTGTCGTGGGGAACACACCTGAGAACAGTTGCTGCTTGTCTCAGGAGAGCAGGCTGGGGGAAACCTGCATTCCTTCTGTGGTGTTTTCAAATGGCAGCAGGTTAGTATGATATTCACTGTAGGGATGGTTAAGTCAGTTTTGGTTTCTTTAAGTATTACTTTTACAGCCTTACATTTAGATCAACTTCAGCTTTGAGAATTAAAAAATAAAAGAAAATTCATATGGATTTTTATATCCATATCATGTATATTTGTCCCAGTACATGCACCTTTGTACACATTTATGACTAATATATGCAATATGGCAAACAATTTTTCTAATATAATATGCTGTGATTGTTCACTAATACCTGTACTTTGTTTGCCCTTTCCTGATTATATCTGTATGCATTTTTGATTGGAGGCATTCATTACAACATTTGGAAAAACACAAATTTAGAAAGATAATTAGGTTTTGTTTAAAAGTGAGAAATTTGGTAAGTTCATATTAAAATTCAAACCAAACAAATTTCTTTTCTGTTCCTAATTCTTATCAGCCATAAAAGTACTTTGCTGTAGTACTGATTATATAGCCATGCCAGTGGAATTTAAATATTATTATAACCATACCAATGGAGTTAATGACTCCTTTTCCTCTTTTCTTTTTGAAGAGAAATGTAGTGGCTAGTCCATATTGAATGATAGCTTTAAACAATCGTGCCCAGGAGTGGTGGAGGAGGGGGAATCCTTTATCTAATTATGCTTGTTTGGAAGGGCAACATTAGTTACATTCCCCTGCAGAACTGTTCTGTCATATCTGTTTCAAGCATCCTAGGGGAAATTGCAGCCAGTTACTTAAATTTAACACCATTCTGTTTTCAGTCAATTGCCAAGCTTGGATGGTGTCAGGGCACATCCAACGTTTAATAGCCATTGTAAAGATACTTGCATATCAAATGAGATAACATTGGCAGGTTGCTGACCCACATCCTTGAGTCTTGCAACCTGATTGTGGGAAATCACTGTCTGGCCATGCAAGTACAACATTTGTCATCGCAGTACAGAAATGTTTAGGATGGTGCTGCCATGCCTGGGAACAGCCTTGTGAGTGCACACTAGCTAGGACTTTGAGGTGACTGGATAGATTAAGACAGATCTCCAAAAAGTTAAGGGCAGGCAACCGGCCAGTTGATGTCCTGGTGGAAATCTTGTAGCCACTTGCCATCCTTGTTGCAGCCAGGATTGCTGTGAGATAGGTTTCTGTTGGTGATGAAGACTGTGGTTTCTGAGCTAGTATGTTAGCTCCCGTCTCCGCCATGTACTCAGCCTTTTGGGCAGGTTACTCGTCTTTTGCCACTTGTCCCATGGCAGCCATTTTGTGGGGGTACTCAAGACAGTTTTTCAAAGGATCCCCAAAGTTTGCTTGTTCCTGCCCTGGGTTGGTTTCCAAATGAAGCAGTTCATAGCACACGGTTACTCACAGAAGCATTTTCAACTGCAATGTATAAAATGTGTTGAAAGGAGGTTTCACAGATTTCAGGAGGTTCACAGAGCCAGCCAACTGGAACAAATCCACAACAGGGATTGCAGCATTACAGATGGTCTGCAGAGTGCAATTCAGCCACATTATATTATGGTAGCAATTTCACTCCTGATTTACTTCTCCATTAGAATGAGAGATACTAGATGCATACATGGAGAGCTACCATAATGGACAATAATGGCCATAACATAAAAACTGGCCTCAGTTAGAGTTGCTTTGTGGTGTATATATACACTGGGATAACATGCTGGTTTGGTGAAAGTTTTACAAAAGATGTCTCATTAACAATATTTGGAACTACTAGTTCATATCCCCAAATATGGTGAAGATTTAAAGCATTTCAGTGGGCCAGTCATATCAGAATTTATCTCATAAGTATTGCACCTACTAGAATACTGAGTTTGGTTTTGTTTCTCTGCTTAGAAAAAATGAAAAACAATTTAATGCAGGCAGCTTTTACTAGCCTCAGATTATCAAAAGCATACGGCCTTGGCAATGCTGAATAATATATAAAGCCCTGATCAATAATGCTTGAATAGAGAGAGTACAGTAATTCTTCTCATTTTTGTGCTGGACTATTTGTAGAAATGTGTGTCTACAAGGCTGTGATTATGTTGCCTCAGTCATTATTGGACTGCTGCCAGGGCCCCAAGTCTCCCAGTAAGACTCCATGCCCTGTGTCTCCCTACCCCAGTTTTTTGTTTTGTTTAGCATGCCATGCTAAGCAGTGTCAGATGCCTGGATCTAGGCACAAGTTTCCCACTATGTCTCTGACCTGGAGTCAGCCTGGTGCATTATGAGAAATTAAAATGGTGGCTAGATGCAGTTGCCCAGTGCTGCCCAGAGTGCTGCCCCTGTAGCCAAATATGCCTGCCAGAGTAGGAGGCCCATCAAAGGACTTTGTCTGTGGCCCTTCAGACTTGGAGCTGGACCAGCAAGTGATGGAGCATACTAGGTAAAATCTCTTGGCCTTCCTTCATTTCTTCCTTGGAAGAAAATCCCAGTGAACTGCCTCAGAGAGCTTTTGCTATTGGATGGTGTAGAAATGACATTGAATCAAGCACACATTTGGAGAGATGTATTAAGCAAAGCATAATCCCTGGCAGAATTAGCCTGGTTAGAAAGTCCATATAATACATATGACACATGGTTGTTGTTGGTTGTCTTTCTGCAAAATATGCTCACTTTTAATGGACATGCTGTAATGGTGACAACATTGCAAGCACCCTTTTTTCTTCCTTGTGGAAGAAAAGTCCTGGGAAATGTTGCCAGGACTGAGTGACAGCAGCATTGCTAAGGCTGCAGGGGGACTGCAGGGGTTAGTGGGCTAGTGAGGAAATTGCTGAAGGTCAAGGATCTGAACTGAGCGGAGAAAGAGACTGGGGAGGGGTGTCTGAAGCTTGACATTAACTGAGGGTGAACTTGTGTCTTCCTTTACACAGGGCAATCCTCTCTTTGAAGATGTCCTATGTTTGAAGGGCTGTTTTATTCTAGCTTAGTTTAAAAATAAAGAGCCATGAGAAAGAGAGAATAGGAAGCCTTGAATTTTCCATCTCTAGTTTGTAGCCAATCAGCAGACAGCTCACATGAGCATTGTTTTCCTCACGATGAAGCTGTATTTCCCTGTATATTTATATTCCTAAGATTAGATTTTAATGCTGTGATTTTAATGTTACCATATGGTTATATTAATGGTATATTTATATTTGTAACCTGTCCAGGGAACCCTGTGGCAAATGTGGTGGGCTAAAATATAAATAAATAAATCTGCTAATTATTTCTTTATGTGCCTTTGCATATGTCCATTAGCCTATACCATTTTTATGTAAGACTGTGGCTCCTTTTCTACTTCTGTGGCCTCCTATACCAACTGGGCCTCAGCAGAAGAGGGTCCTGAGTGGGAAACACATGGAACGGGGCAGAAGAGAAGTCAGTGAGGGGAGAATGTGCTCCACCAAGACTGGGGCAGAACTAGGAATGTGGGGGACAGAAATGTATGAGACCAAGGGCTGAGGGGCAGGAAAGGAAAAGTCAGGAGGGCCCAAGTTCGAATATTGTTTTGAACGGAACAGTCTATTTTTTTAAAACAGTTTGTTGTTTTAAAATAAACTCTGAACCATAGACAATTTAGCTTATTTTAGGGGTGACCTGCATTATTTATAGCTTCAACAGAAGATATTGATAACTGTGAGTTTTGGTAAGAACTGAACTTCAAATTCAGTCAGCTGTGCCCCCCCATCCCATTTCAGGAAGAATTCCTTTGGGTGGGAGGGAATGTGAGGGAGAAGTGGAGGGAGGGGATGTGGGACCCTCTGCCTGCCCAGGAGTTTTCTGTTCAGAAGTACTTCAGTACCTCCTGGATTCTAAATGCTGCAGGATTCTAACTACTTCTGCAAAAAACACACAAACATAGTTAATACATTTGCAGCTCACAAGATGAAGTTGTTGGGATGGTGGGAAAAGGAAAGTATGATTTTAAGGATAAATGTTGCAGGCTGAGGGAGATTTCAGTGGCCCAACTCTCCTCCTCTTCTGCTCCAAAGTGCTCCCTCTAAAAATTCCAAAAGGCCGCTGAAATTTGTCATTTGCTAGTTGGGCGAATTGTGTGTTATCTATTGAAACTTGACTACTGAATTCAGGCTGCAGGTAAGTATTGTTACTTAACAGATTTATATTATTGACCAGTTTTTCTACATTTCTTTCAGAACACCTTTATTACAAGCTGCAAGGAAAGGAAGGGAGTAGAAAGATTTTGTATTTTGTGGGAAAATGCATTTGCGTCTGTGATGTGAATTCAGTCCTTCGTTGTGTTCATCAAGTTCAACAGATTCAGCCTAATCTTTTAAAGGCTATCCAATAAATGCCATTTTTTCAAACCTAGCCTGTAAATAATATTATCAACGGTATTGCGTGCCCCAGCATGTCAAAGGACTGCTGGAGCACTGGGCCTGTTAAGGCGCTTGATCGGAAGGATTTATGAAAAATCTCTTTGAATGGGCAGCTTTCTTTGAAGGACTGAGCTTTTGGCTTGGTGCTCATGTGCTGTCTGTATTGCATAATTTCAGGAAAAAGCTCTGTACACTTGTCTTTTATGTCTGTATTTTTAATAATTCCTCATTTCTTGGCATTCTTGCTTTTGGTGGAAAACAGCTTCCATGCATCCATGTCTATGAAAAGTAAATCCAAAGTACTACATTTGTGGATGGAAACAATATGTACATTTTTGTGTTATCTCTTTTGCAGGTATCCTGGAATTTATCAGTATAGCAGTGGGCCTGGTCAGCATTCGAGGGGTAGACAGTGGACTTTATCTTGGAATGAATGAGAAAGGTGAACTATACGGCTCAGTAAGTTACTTACAGTTTTAAAAAAATCTTGGGTTCTGTATGCTTTATTGAGTTAAAATGTTGTTATGATTATTGTGTCTTAATCAGAATCTTAAGCTTTAAGACTTAAGTTGCCGAGGATATAGGACAGCACATTGTGCAAATATCTAGTCAATGATCCTGTAGTCTAGTTAAGGAGAGGAGATTTGACAAAGGAAGAGGAGATGCTACCAATGGGAGATGAGACAGCTTACAGTTGATTGAACAGATTTTCGTCTCATGAACATATGAGCTTGGATATACCTGTATTGTCACGACTTGTAGCTTTGTACCAGTGTTGCAGGCTCACCCAGAATGCTAAACTGGCTCTGTACTTTGGATGGCATCACTGCACTGTTAATAACCATCATTAGCAGATGAATTCTTGTAGTGTTGACAAGCTCTTATATGGCATCGGAACAAGCTGAGCTAGGGTATGATGGGGTGGAGTGAAAGAAAAATGCTAAAGTATGTATACTCTCCAAAGCATTCAAGCCGCCATGGAACTATCTACAACTGCACTTACATTAGCAGGATGACTGGCTTTTCATATTTCTGTAGGGATATGCCTTCTGCCTTCTGTTCACACATTTTGTAGGCAAGCCTGTCAGACAGAATGGGAAATGCCTCTTATTTCATCATGCCAAGATGCATTTTTTTGTTTTGCAATCTAGAATATCTTGAATCCCTCAAATATAGATCTTATGTTCAATGTATTAGTATTGCATTAAGTTAGTTATTGCACATTTCCAAATTTTCTCCCTAAGAGATAAATTATGGGAAGGTATGCAAGAGCTTTTCATTGTTTTGCTTTTTATAATGGTTTCTATAGAGAGAAAGAAACAGTGGAAATGTTGGCCCCCTACACATGGCAAGTAGGAGAAAGCCTTTGCCTTTCCAAGGTCAGATGAGGAGTATCTCATGCTTGCTGTAATTCCAGCTTTAGCTTCTAGTTTCCCTGCTGTAAGTCACTGAAATCTAGGGTCCAGTGACTTACCCCAGGAAAAGATTCTGGCTTTGCTACACACACCCTTATCCTGGCTCAGGCAGAAGTTATGTCTGTGTTCCTTGACATGATTTCAAAAGCCCCCAACAAGGCATCAATTCAGGCTCCTGGAAAGAACTCTCTGTCCTTTACCTGGCAGCCCACAGGGTGGGGAGAGAAAGAGAAAGAGAAAAAGAGAAAGAAGTGGGTATAGAAAAGAAGACAGAATAAAAGAAAAAGCAAGGTAGGCAGCTCTGTCTTCTTCCAGCTTTGGCTTTGCCCACAGCTGGCTTTGGCCCAATGCACCACTGGCATACAGTCACCAACAGATTACCTTCCAGGGAATATGCCCTCAAGGGAACAAAGGTCCCTCACCCTTGCCATATACCTTTTCCTTTCTGACTTTAGTTTACTTTCTTTCTCAGGGTTGGGATATAGGAATAGCTCCTTTAAGATGGCTTTTTTATGTTTATGTTTGCTTCAAGGAACCCAAGGTGACTTGCACAATCCTCCTCTCCATTTTATCCTTGCAGTGATGCTGTGAGGTAGGTTCAGCTAAGAGTCAGTGGCTGGTCCAGAGTTACCCAGTGAACTTCATGGACAAGTGCTACATGGACCAGTCCAACAAGAGCTTCATGGACCACTGGCTCTTTAAACCATGGGTCCTCAAACTACGGCCCAGGGGCCAGATCCTGCCCACCATGCCCATTTATGCGGCCCGCCTCAGAAGTTTTGGACTCCCTGTGCCTGCTCCTGCCGCTGCCCGCCTTGTCGTGGGCGCAGCGAGATAATGGCTTGCTTGCTTGGAGTTCGTTTTGGACTCGCTCAGAGATGTCCAAGCGAGCAAGGTGCCGCCTCACCGCATACGTCTGCCTCCGCCTCACCGGCCAGCACCCATGGGCACCCCCGCCTTACCGGCCTGCGCCTGCCGCCGCCACCTTTCAACTGGCCCCGTTATAAAGTTTGAGGACCCCTGCTTTAAGGAACTAAAGGAGCATAGGAAGCTGTTTCATACCAAATCAGACCACTGGGCCATCTAACTAAGTATTGTTGATACTGACTGGTAATGACTCCCCAAGGTTTTGGACAGGAATTTTTTCAGCCCTGCTTGGGAATGCCAGGGAGTGAACTTGAGTGCTGGGACTTGAATCTCAGAAAAAAGGAAAGATTGAAGGAGAAACAGCTGCAAGAATGAAAAGAGGAGAATGTGCATGATGACTGATAGCTGGATGTATGAACAGATTCCACTTAAAAATGTTTTAAGAACATATGAAGAGCTGTGCTGGATCTGACCAAAGGACCATCTAATCCAGCATTCTGTTCTTACAGTGGCCAGCCAGCTGCCCATAGGTTCCCACAAACGGGGTATGAATGTCACAGCTCCTGGCTACCCATGTTCCCCAGCAGCTGGTATATAGATTCAGTCACTGGTGCTTGCTGTATTGTTCTCTCGCTGACATAGTTGCAGAGTCCCAAGAAATAATGGAAGCCACTGATTTATGGGCTTGTTGATAGAACAGATCGATGCAGTTACTATTTCTATCTAGCATTTAACCTCAAAAGACACAGCCACTTCATATGTTAATATAGATAGAGCTGAGGTATTTGAATGGTAGTCTGAAAACTCTAATCCACCCCCCCCCACAAAATATCATGGGAAAGTTGTATAATAGTTGAGCATATCTTTATTTGGCCATGCACTTGGATTTCTTTGTTTTTCCTTCATGTTGAATATCAAGGTCCTTTTGATAAAGGATAGATTATTGAATAAGCTAATGAGGCCCTGGTCTGGGTCCCAGTGTACAATATTGTACTGCTACAGTCTACCAGTTCTCCCAAAGGATGCTAATGGGTATATTTGGCAGTCTAGAGCAAATAGCCTAGCTTGGCACAGTATATGAAGAGAACTCCTAGCCCACAATTACCCACTCTACTTATAATCAGTGTGATGATTCTCAGATGGAGGTTGTTTCAAGCCCTGCTATGTGTGATCCTATTAACTAGAAAGTCCAAGGAAGATCAGCCCTCAGATAACCCATAGTTCATGAGTTTGTAATGACATGACAAGCCATAGTGTGCCCTGTTATGGCTTATCCAGAATGGTGGCTGGCACATACCTGTGGATTAATGCATGGTGATTTATTGTGCTGTGAGCCAGACCAATTGTTTAAATGGCCTGGTCAAGCCATTTAGGATATGCCTTTATGGTAATAACCAGCACATTTAATTATGCTCCCAAGCTAAACAGAAGACAGTGCAATTTACATAAACCTTGATGAATGTGTTCCACAAAGGTGATCCCCGCCAATACTTGGCTGCTGCATTGTAACCAGCCAAGAACTTGTCAATCCCCCTGTTTTTGTAGTCTCAGGTAGGCAACAATTTATTTGTTTTATTTCTAATCTGCCCACAATCTAATCTTCTCTGAGTGGGTTACAGCCAGTAAAAAAACTAAAATGCAATTTCAAAACACAGTTAGAATATTAAATACAATGCAAATATATAAAAGAATAAAATGTAATACAAAATGCAGTGCGCACACATCCTTATATGCAATTTTGCACAATATACATATTTTTGCAAACAGTTTCTGAATAATAATATATTATTTGCACTACTATACACAGTTTTATCTCTGCTTTCCCCTAAGATATGCATTTTAATACTTTTTTGATTAGCAAACTCATCACAATATGTGGAGAATTTTCAAAGGTAATTGACTTTGATTTATGGATTGGTTCAAAATGCAAAATTCAGTCAAATACAAACCAAATTTCTCTCTCATCAGTGCACCTTGGGGCAGAAGGCCCTCTTAAAGTGTTACTACTTCATGATGTAGCATCATTCCAAAGGCCATTCTTGGGAGAATAATGATAGCTGCTTCCACTCACCAAAAGCGTAGGGAGGACCATAATTTTAAATCAATCAGCTTTGTGTTTGTTGCACAACAACAAATTGCTTCCCAATTAAACATATCCCATTAAGGATGCAGTTATATTACCAGAAATGTAAGAACTCAAAGGCTTACAAGCATCCTGTGCGGGGCAGAGGAAATCTTTGCCTCCTTATTCTCCTGCCTGCATTTTTGCTAGATGCATTTTTATGGCCTGCTTAGCAATAGCATTTCAGAGGGGAAGAGCAAGACCTGGGACCGGGGGGGGGGGGGGGGGGGGTGTCCAGATAGTTCATAACCCAGCCTTTCCCAGAGAGTCTCCTAGCCCAAAAAATGCCTCCCCTTTCCCTTCTGCACGCCTATGTTTGCAATCCTGAAGAGCAACTGTTGTAGTTCTCTTTGCACCAGGTGCAAGGGAGAAGGGGAAGGGAAAGGGGGTGGCTCCATTTCACTTCTCCAAGGTGATGATGCTTTCTGACCTTGGATCTAGTGTCCAGAGTATCCTATGGTATCTTGGATTGTCTTGGGAGGCCATAGGGAAGCGCCCTAACAGGACTAACATTTGCCCTAAGTTTTGTTTACGATGAGATAAATTATTATCTTAGTATAAACTGGCCAGTACTAAATTTTTTAAAACTAATTTTTAAAATCTAATAATAGAGCAAATGCTGAAAACCAAATACTTAAATGTAGTATAAAGAAAGGCACAAAACATACCGATGTCATGGAATTGCAAAGTTATTAATTTTGAATATGATCTGGCATTTGTCCTTCCTGTATTAATTTTGCAGTTGGTACTTAAGCAAGTTTTAATGTCATATTGAACTACAGCATTTTTATTTCACAGAATATTAAATGTGCAAGGAGTTAATGAAGTACTTGGCAGTTATAGGTCTGGGGCATAAACTGTGCTTTTGTGCAATTCCCATTTCCTTTGGTGGGGCTTGCGTAGGGGAAATTCCTGGTGGATTGTACCCCTAGGCTGGCTGAGTTGGCTTTAAAACTCTCAGCAGAAGATGGGCCTTGCCATCAGACTGCAGTGTGATGAAAAGTGGCTATGATCTAATTCCATTAGTTTCAATGAAACATAACATCTAATATTCA